TGCACTTTGTTAAACTAAAATTAGTTGAGCTATAAAACTGCATACTTCGAATTTTTCTAAAAAATCTGAATAGAAAGTTGCAAATAAGTATGCAAATTTATTGAATTTTCCTGAGTTTTGCACAAAATTTAGAGATTTAGTTTTTATGTTTTTTGGTGTAGGACGAACTATATATTTATAAAAAATTATCGAAAATAAATTAGAATAAAAAACTTTTCAGATATTGCGAAAAATTCTCTGTGCCAATACTTTTGTCCGGCACTGTATATATAAAAATGTTGTGTTCGTTTGTACCAGACCAGAAAACTCGAGATCGGCTGAACAGATATTAAAATTTTTTTTGTAATTGTTCGGTATAATACCAAGATTTATGGTACAAAAATTTGGAGGATTGCCACCTGTTAGATTGATAAAATTCATGAAATATAGCAATATAGCAATGCGGGCATTTAATTAAAGAAGTTTATTAAAGATAACCATTGGGGAACGTTCTACTGTTGTCACCTATTGAACATTTTAACTCAGTTAAATTGATAAAATATTGCAGTGTGGATGTTGAAACTAGAGTTTTAAGAAGGCTTACAGTCGAAAATATTTTCGAAGAGGGTTGCCACCTTTTTGCAAATTTAACTAAGCCAGTGCATTTTTATAGATACGCATGAATTCGTCCAAGAGAACAGCAGTGCCCGAGGCAGCAACAGTCCGGACTGTTCTTCACCGAAAGGCGAGCATGAAAGTATTCGGGCGAGTTATGCGCATTCGCGATACGATACGGAAGATTTAACGGTTACCCTATAAACTGAACAGCTACAGTTTAAGTTATTCAGCTTCAGGTTCAATTAGTAAACTACTTAGGTATAAGTTATTTATTCAAAGCAGTTAGCAACGAAGAAATTTAGCATAGTTATTGCACATCAACAGTAAAAAAAAATTGTAGATACTTTTTTCGATTGTTTTTTAAATTACTTTGAGGAATGGAATTGGAAAACAATTTTTTTTTATTCCTTTGAATTGGCTTAAAAAAAAATTAATTACATTTTCAATTCCTTTCAAAGGAATTACATTAATAGCACGTAATTTATTCCAGTTACAATATGAAATTCCTTGTAATGGAATTCAAAACAAAAAAAAGAAACAATTACATTTGAAATTACTTCTAGGGAATTGAGAACGTCATCAATTCATTTGCTGTGAACTGAAGGAATTGATTCCTTATTACAATTACTGAGCGATGTAATTGTAATGTAATTGAATTTACCCAGCACTGCCAATACACCATAGCGGCCGTCGAGTATGAAACTGCATATAAAGATTTTTAATTGAAACTTAAAATATTTTATATATAATATGTGAACAATCACACACAGATGCACGATAACACGTTGTCACTCAAAAACAATGCTTTAACTGATAGGGGAGGCACGACACTACACGCTATTGAAACAGATAAGAATGTTCTGTGACACAGTACGAGGGTCACTAAAAAGTCTATAGAATTCGCACCACATTTTTTGAGCATTGATCTGAACGTTTTACAGTACGAGCACTCTTTGTGTTGTTTAAAGGTACTTAAAAGTGTCAGGTACACAAAAAATGAATATTAAAGAAAAGGGTTTCGTTGGATGATTGTCAACCACTTTTAACCAAATACAAGAGCAATGCAACTTATTTCGCCTTTCAATAAAGGGCCAGTGTGTAATATTGGTATGGTGGATTCAAGTGTGGTCGTACTTCGCCCGCCAAGGAACATCGAGAAGCTTTTCCAATACGTAGAACAGTTAATTCTGAGTAGTGAACATTTATTTGTTTGGAAACAGTCTTGAAGAAAGAAATAATGAAACACAACAAACGGTCTTTCATCAAGCCAATGCGAGCTTTCACCCATCTAGTCAAACAAATGATTTCGTAAGCATTCGAAACATCAAATTTATTGATCATCCGCCGTACAATCATCCTGATTTGGTACCAAATGGTTCTCTTTGTTTACGTACATCGAGAATAAAGCTGCATTTACATGAGGCGGTTTTCTAGGCGTAATGATGACATCAAGACAGCGAAATGTGGTGTTGATTCAAACTGAACATTTGAAAGCACATTTACATGCATGGCTGTAGCAGAGTGTGCAAAGATGCTTCGTACAAGCGGCTGCTGTCAAGACTGTCCGGGTTCAATTCTCATCAGACGGACCACAAAATTTAATTGTTTTAATTTTTTATTTTTTTTTTAAGAACTTTTTCAGTGACCCTCGTAATAGTTATAAAGAACACTTTTTTGCTTTATTATATTTAGATATTTCAACTTATCAAGAAATACTTTTTTGAGTGTTTGAAGTTCTCTTACTTATCTTCATAACTTAATTTAGTCTCAATACCTTCCAGGAGGAGAAGACGTTTTTTTTTTTGCTTCGGCGTAGTCATAAAGTTATAAAAACGCACTAGGAATGCCTAACAAGCGCACGAAACTTTCTGAAAAGCAAAAAAAGAAAAGTATGAAGGCAAAACATATTTTGCTTTGATTAACTGATAAAGTTACCGCCAAGCTGTTGATTTATTATTACTCTGCAAACACATAAAAGACAAGTTGTAGAAGAGCGTAAAATGTTTTACTTTATTTGAATAGCATTTTTCTGCTTAGTTGTTTTATAAAATTTAAATTTTAATAATGATTGCAGCGCCCTTGATCTCACAATCAATAGCATTTACTGTAGTATTGTCATAATTAGAACTTGTCATAGCCACTTTACTCGCCTCGCTGGCAATTTATCCATCGCCTATCACATTGCAAATTGACAAAGCACACGCCATTTGGATACCCCCTTCTGCTGGCACTGATGTTTGATAAATTTGAATTTTATATATTTTTTTTCAAAGTTTTACTGCACTTTTCTGTATTTTTGTGCTCATGTCTGTGTTTGCCTACCTCATTTGGTCAGTCGTTAATTAAACATGTGACGCACATTCTTAATACAATCGGTATTTGGTAAAGTAAATGTGCGCTGCATTGCCGCAGCTAAACATTGGCGTCGACGTCGAAGTTGACGTAAACAAAGCCTGATAATTTTTATTTGCAAAAAAGCTGTTAAGCAGCTTTGTTTTCGATTTCTTTTTTTTTTTTGCTTTTGCTTTTGCTTTTACAGCACAATTATTTTTACACATTTAGGTCATGCAGCTAGCGATGATGTCGTTCACAGTGAGTCAACGCTAGACGGCAGCAGCGCAGCGTAAAGTGCAGTGCGCTGAGCGGTCGTAGAGGTGTATGAGCGATTTTATGTATTTTGTATTTGAATTGCACTAAAAATACTAAACAAAGTAATATCTCCAAGTTGTAGAAACTGGGAATCTTTACATCAGGTTGCTTTACTTAATTATCAGACTGTGAAGAGGAGCTTTAGATTTTCTTTAAAAAATAATTATATTTTTATCTCAAAAATTTTTTTTTACAAAACTGTTATCGCTGAGAATTCCATTAGATATGTTATGTAATGTTTTGGTATGTCTTGCTATGCTTTGTTATGTTATGTTATGTTTGATATGTTATGTTATGGTATCTTAGTTTTGGCTATGCTGTTATGTTATGTTATGTTATGTTGTGTTATGTTATGTTGTATTATGTTATGTTATGTTAAGCTATGTTGCGTAGATAAAATTTTTTTACTTAACACAAATTCGTACTTAGTAAGTAAATCAATTGTTTATACTGTTACATTAACTGTGTGTTTCATCACCTTGTATTCTATTCCTTTTTCAGATTTCTTCTCACTCCCCTCTACACAGATTGGCACACAATCGTGTCTTATGGACACCGAGGACACACAACAACTACAACAGCAACAGCAGCAACCACAGGTAGATGTCAATATGGACGCTGCAAATCTCACCAATCAAACAATCAACAATGCGACAAGTAATATACACTTTATCACACAACAACAACAACAACAGCACGCTGAGCAACAGCAACAACAGCAAGTAATAAATACTGCACAATCACCTCCAGTAGTTGTATATCAGCAACAACATAATTATCAAGGTCACTTGCATCGCGCCAATCGGGATGTTAGTCGCTGCTTGTTGTCGCACATGATTTAACTTAAAACAGAAGCTAGAGAAAAAAGCAAAAACCAAAAAAAAAAACAAAACAAGTTTCGCTAAGCGAAAGCGAAATTTAAATGCATTAGGTCACGGCCAGAAAAAAGTTTCATAAATTTAAGTTTCTAGCGAATTACGTACTGACTATTTTTTCGAATTTCGATGTTTTTTTTACGTTTAGAATTTGGCAGTTTACTTAAACTCGAAAAATTCGAAAATTTCGAAATTATTTTTCATAGATGTTTTCACGCTTCGATCAAAGTTTCGAGACTTTTCGCGTATTTTCGCAGTTGAAGCGAACTTCGCCAATGAATTATTTTTATATTTACGCGGAATTATTACATTTTTACTTAATGCATTTTGTATGCAATATTAAAGCAATTAAAGCAACTTTGAGTACCTTCGCTTAGCATAAATGTATTAAATTTTTTATATTATTTTTTTTTAATTCTTAATTTATAAATATTAAAAAAAAATATTGATAAAATATAACCATGTCACCTCAAATGCAATATTAACACAGTTACTTACATACATGCATACTTGGTAACAGAAACGAAAACATATGGCTTTTAGTGTGAAATTTATATATGCCTACAAATGTACATACTTAAATATGTATATTCGTTTATTTAATTTAATTGCACATTTAAATTTCTTGGTCGTATATCGCTTATACATACATACATATACAGTATTTAAGGCAAATTGAGTGCAGTGACTTGTGAAATTAAAACGCAAAATATTTACATGCATACATACATACATACATATGTATGTACATTAGGGCGGGCAAATTTTTTTCGACTATAGGCGTATAGCATAGCTTTACGTGTAATTCTAACCAAGAATTCTGCAAATTTTATCTGCACACTTGTTATTAAGATTTTCTAACAAATTTTGTGTATGCAGTCTTATAGCCCATTCAATTTTTATACAATAATCGGCAAATTTTAATTGTCTTAAAATTCGCACTGATTTTTACGGCTTTATGCATTTTCTCCAAATAAAAAAGCAAATGCTGAGCACAGTCGGCAAAAACAAAAAAAATTAAAATTAAAAATCAACGCGAATTTGAAAGCAACTACTCATTATTGTACTAAAATTGAATGAGCTATAAAACTGCATACTCGATTTTTTTTTTTAGTTCTTACTAAAAAGTTCGCAATTTTTGATGAAGTTTTGCAGAATTTTAATTTTCGTACAAAGTTTGAAACCAGCCATATTTGAATAAAACATTAACAAAAAATTTTTAACATTAAAACTATATGAATATTTAACAAAATCACCAGATACTCAATTTTGTGACTGACTGTAATTAATTTAAAAAAATATTTGAATTTAAATGGAAATGTGTAAAAGAATTGTATTTTTTCTTACGGCACTATTTACATCAAAATGCTAAGTAAAAGAAACATATTTTCACAATTTGGCAAACTCCAAATCGATTTTAGGCCCATGGGTTCTTCGGCAAATATTCTTAGAATTAAACGCAGAATTCTCCTATGCTATGCCTATAGTCGAAAAAATCTCCCATACAAATTTATCCGTCCTAATTTACATATATAAATAAATACAAATTTACAAAATTATATGCAGCATATGTACATATGTATGTATGCTTATACATATGTATGTAATCCAAATTTTCATTTGCCGTAATTGTGCGTTTACAGCACATTTCGTAGCATATATGAATGTACATACATACATACATCTAGTACATATGCACATAAATATACAAACATGTACCTAAAATGTTGCACATTATCTACTTAACATGAAAAAATGTTATTTTATTTTTTTTTTTCGACAAAAGAAAAGCAACTGCGTGCGTAAATTGTATGTCTGTCTACCTTGGCATAATTGTTCGGTGCGTTTGTAAGCAGTGGATTCGAATGTATGTTTGTACGCAGAAGAAGCAATAAATATATTATCCTTAGGCGAGCAATATGTTGCAAAATATGGGGAAACTAAGCAAAAAACTCAAATATATACATAAGTATGTAGATACATATGTATAGATATTGGCGCAAAAGATGTATCAATACCTACAACCAATCACTTTTCTAATATTTTTATATAGTAATTCGAATCATTGTCTAATGATTTAAAAATGAAGAGCAATATTTTTAACCAACCTAAAACCAAAACTAAAAATAAACGAATATTAAAAATATTGTACGAAATTGCAAATAAAATATATTAGTGAAAATTATTTATATTTGTTGTATGTTGAAAATATACCAAATACAATTTTTTACAGCCAGTTATTATAAATTTGATTTGCGCTTTCTCTTATATATTTAAACGAATCAAATGTGTTTCCATACAAGAAACACATTGAGCTTTCAACTACCTGGCGGCTACAAGTGACTAACATATCGATTGAGCGACTATGCTGTGCAGCAATAATTGCTTAGAAAAAGTACTTTTAAACGCTTACGATTATAAATTATTAGTTGACTTGCATATGCACTGTAAATGTGCATACATATGTACATATGTATATACTTGTGTGCATAAGTATGTACATATGTATGTTTATCCACACAATAGCTGACACTTACACTGAGGTGTAAAACAATCATTGTCACAGAAAAGTTGCTATCGCTAGATTTTCTTTCCCCTCTCGCCTCCTCTTTTCCACGTCTATAGTATATGCATTTTATATTGAGGTTAGATAAGTTGAGTTCGTGCTGTATACAATGCTTTAGTGAAAAAGTTAATCAATAGTAAGCTGCAATTGTGAAAGTGGGCTACGAGGAAGGGCAAAGTTGCAGGGTGATAAGTCACGAGCCACCTTGCAATAGATGAATGTTATGCCCTGCAATAGATTCGATTAGTTAATTCAAAACTAGCTTAGAATAGGCAAACTACTGGAACGCGCTTAAAAAGTTACTGTTTTCATACAGAGGCTAAGCTGATCAAGAGCGCCGATTTAGTGTAAAAAAATGATTCGGTGTGTGATGAACTATTTTTGAAACTACGGTAAGTAAATCTAATAATCAGGTATCATTCGGTAGTGCGCGCAAAGGGCCATAATCAAAGAGTTACATGATTGCAAAATAGTGACATCAACGGCTTTATTCAAAACATAGTACCAGGTTGACCGAGCTATGCCCGGAGTGCATATACTTTTTAAACTTTTCATGATTAGGATAGCTTTAAAAAAATATTTTGGAAATAAACAAAAAGAAATAGGATTTCGATATCTATTAAACAAAAATTTATTTGGCAATCCAATTGCGAAATACTCTGGAATGGATAGTACATATCTTTTGATCGTAGGTGTACTGTGTATACATAAAAAAAGTGGATTGAAATTAAAAAAATAAAAATTTTTATTATATAGAAACGTGGCAACCCTGATGGAAAATATTTTCTGACCAAAGTTCTTAACAATACCTTTCATTGGATATTCATATTGCGATGTTTTAGATAAATTGTGTTGAATTATAATTACAAGATATCAATCAATTAATCAGCATTTTCTATTAATCTTGTTTTAAATAATGAACTAATTTTTTTTTCAAATCATTTTGCTGCTATTATTCGAGTATTTTAGCATTTTATCACAAAGTCTGCATTCCATAAAATTACTATCATAAATTTTTGTGTAAAATTTCAAAAATTCCCTTTCTACGTGAGCCATTTTTAACACGAACGTTTAATTTTCCGAATTTACAAAGACAGTGATGTGCCTCTTTGTTGAAATCAGTGATGTTACTTTGAGATATGGCAGGGTTATTTTACTCACAAGCAGAGTTGCCATTTCGCTAAAACTTTGAAGCGAGATGTAGTACGCATTTTTCTATGAAGAAAATGTTGTGAGTGGCAGCAATGTTTCAATATTATAATTCGATTAATCAAAACAGGAAATTCGATTCGGTTAAATCGCTTTCTAAAAAAAATTACTCGATTATTGCTATGCATTTAGGTATGAGTAGGCTATTGGGAGGATTAGGGCTGCCTTTGGCTCACAATTAATCACAAATGCAATGGGATGGCAACTTCATACGATATTCGATTTGATTAAGATCTTTCGCCATTTATAACCGTGAACGAAACATGGATTGGGAACAACGTGTGGTGATATTTTCCGATGATACCTGCCGAGACTGGCCTAACTCCACGGCGCTCAAAAGCACTGCGAATCAAATTAATGCAAAGATCAGCGCCCCGAAATGCAAGCAACTCGGTACCAATTGGCAGTGCGGAATCGAAACACTTACTACCTTGGTAAGGTTCGAGCCCCATCTAAACCTCTGCCGTGCTATAGGTCCGGCACCCGGCTGCTATGCAACTCCACATCGAGCCTACAAATGTCAACTCTACCCGCATTTGGGTATTAAACCACAACCACTACGATACTCCCCAAGGGACCGTACCCAAGAACCGGCTAGAGTAAACTTTACTTCACAGTGGGGGCTCCTGTTCGGCGCGGTAGCAGAATTAAGTCTCCGGTCAAACCTCGTAGCCGTAACTACTACCAGTTGAGTTTCCGTAATGAATTGGGAACTGCAGCAATGGCAATAATGGTTTTTTTCGCGTGAATAGGCGTCAAAGAAGGTCAAGGTGGATCTGTTCGTCATCAGGATTGTGACAAAACTTTTTTGGAATGCACCTAGCATAATCTACACTGATTACCTTGAAAACCAACCGTTTTAACAATGATTTGGAGAAAAAACTACAACTTTTGGCTTAAAGGAAATTATTCTGCTTCATACAAAATATCACCATCCTATTGACCTACTCTCATGTGAGCCAGAATTAGAAAATTTGTTAAGGGTGTGTGCATTGCACTTAACAGTTGCATGTATATGTTAAAACTGTACTATATGTAAGCCACACATGGTGAGTACACACAAACATATTTGGGCATCCATATGCAGCAGATGTTTGCACTTCAACTGTCCAAAACGCTGGGATAATTGCGTGAGAATACAACACATGGATATTATCGATTTTTCTGAAAAACATGTGTAAAAAATACAGTTCAGTTAATGAATTGTAAAATAATAATAATAACAAATAGTAAATTACTTAGTGATTTTTTTCTTTTCACTTCACCTCTGCATATGCCGAAAAGTGAATATCTGCATTTAAGTTCTTTTACATACATATATGCATTAGGGTGCCTCACCAAAAAAATTTGCGTTTTTTCCAGCGGTATTATAAAATTGATTATATTTTAAGACTTCCGCCAAAATATTACGGAAAAATAGTAAGATTTACGTGAGCTGGACCAATTTGAAAATACCACTAAAAATCTCATTATTTTTATTCCATTGATAAAATTTTTAAACATATTTATGCAGGCCATCTAAGCTTAAACTGTTCTATCATCTAAAGTGATTTTTTTTTTAAACTTATTTTATGTATGTATGTATTTATAAAAACTCGATTTTCGGTGGTATTTGCAAATCGGTCTAGCGCACGTAAATCTTAATATTGTTCTGAAAAACAGTACGGATTTTTTTATGGATGGTGATGCTCCCTAATGTATGTACCTATGTACATAGATATGTATATTCGTTTCTTATAGCAACAGTACGTGCAAGCAGTTCTCGACATCAAGTACCAGAGTGATAAAGTGTATATTATTTTTAAATCCTTCAGAAATATAACATGCTCTCATACACATACTTTATACATTCATATGTGCATGCCTTCAAATACCAATTGGCTGACGTTTTCGCTGCATTTTGCTATTGTTGCTGTTGTTTTGTTGTCATGCTGTACATGTATCAAAAGTAAACCAAAATTAAAATTCAACCTGCATATCCGTGAATCCATGAGAACATTCCATGCTTCTCTTTTCTTACGTTGAACTCAATATTAATTTAATTTTTTTTTCACTTCAACCCATTTCATTTCTTCCTTCCTTCTTTTATTATAGCAAAAAGACATCGGCAAGCCATAGATTACGATGCCAACTATGTAAACATTAATCTATCTAACAATATTAATGCTGCTAACCAAAACAACACACAAATCTCTTACAATAACCATAATATTGAGCGTTTGGCTAGTAAAGCAGCAACAGGGAGAAGAGAGAATCGTGGTGTTGGCATTAGTGACAATAATGATGTGATATCTGAAGGTGATGGACATGCTGGTGTTGGACATACATATCAGTTGAATTCAGCGGGGATTACTGCCCAAATTAAAGCGACGAGCCACGAGAATACTACTAGTACAGCCAACATCGCTGCATTGTATGCCAAAACACATGGCGGCGCTTTCTATCAATTCACAGCAGGCATGGCAGGTAATCAGCCATATGTGGAGGATATTTGAGAGAAACGTCAAAGGCAAGAGGCAATGCGATACGAAGAGCTAATTCAGCAAGCATCGAAATTAACGAAAATTGTCATAGTTATTTTCATGTTCGCATTAGCGAGCACTTATAAACCGAATTTACTAGGTTTTAGAAATGATTTCTGTAATATAAATTGCACTGAATTTAATAGATGTTAGGAATGAGGAAAACTGTGTACGCCGCTTACTCTAAAAGCGGCTTTGATTTGTAAATTGAATTCCATTTAGAGAGAAAGAAAAATATCCTTTTTTACAGTTATTTTAATTTTTTTTTTTATATTTACTATAAACATGAATTGACTAGTTGTGTTTGTCTACAAATTATACAGTAACTTGCCAGCAACTCTCTAGTAACTTAATTTCTGAGAATTAGAAAAAATATGCAAAAGTACGAAAACGCAAATCCAGTAATAATTTGCAAGTTTCATGAACATCTGATAGATTGCTTGTTTATTCGCAGCAAATTCTTAATAAAACAATACATTTTATATTTAAATAGATTTATTTTGACAATTTCAACAATAAAACAATATGCGATCAGCTGTTTTTTGTACTGACAAATTCTTACAAGTAAAAATTTATCCAGTAAAAACTTGCGCATTCAACTGTCATTTTCCACTCTCTCAATTTCCCCTACTTTGCAAGTTTTTGCGTACGTAAACGCCAAACATGAGAATTCGTAAAAACTTTTACTGGATTTTACTGAAAATAAGTAAACAAACACAACTAATGTAGTCATTGAGTTACAACACTTTAGCAACTAACAAAAATACCTATATATACATACATATGGGCGATTCCATCGTCACGGGTTGGACATTTGTACAGAAAAAATTTGTTTATTGTTTAAATTTCAGTATAAAGTACCCAACAATTCTACACTACTTAGGCTGGTGCCTCTTATATAAAAGAAAATGCTTAGCACCGTCAGCAAAAAAATTAAAATTTTTGGGCGTAATTGTTAGAGTTTGTCGAATTTTTATAATTTTTGTAAGAAGTTTGAAATGTAGATTTATGACTTTTATAAAGAGAAAATATAAACATTAGATTAACAAAATAAACAATCAAAACTGGTCAAAATGTAGGTTAACTTAATCAGCTGACCACAAGGGTATATAGATAATGGAGTCTAAACACTTGAATTATGATTCGAAAATTATTTGACAGTGCATTCAACACAACCTACTTTGAACTCAATCAAAAAATTTACTTAGAACTTAATATCAAAACGCAAAAAGGCATTAAAAATGCATTTAAAGCTTTAATTTGTTAATTTTTGGTTGATTCAAGATTTTTACAAAGTCTTATCCACACGTTTGTTAGTTTTATAAAGAAAATAATTTTTTCACTGAGATTCAATTTCCCATGGAACCTCCCATATGTATATACATACATACATACTTACAAATGTACAACCAAAAATTTGCATTTGAAAGTGAGTAGCTTGAGAATATTTCGGTAACACGTTGTGTGTGCTTCAACAAAAAAAAAAATTAATAAAAAAATGCAAATTAAATCACGCCTACATATGTACATGCATAAGTACATATGTATGTGTGTAAGTGCATATATAAGTTTATTAATAAAACGAGGGTGTTAAAGTTTATGCACCGTTAGCCGGAATTCGCCAAATATTAAATGGAAAATTGCCACGAAATGTAGTAGGGTGGCGTTTGGAAATAAATATATGTATGTACATATGTGTAAACTGCATGTACACATACCTACAGTGGTCAAAAAATTTATAGCCGCACCATATTTTGACAATTTTTGACATATGACATAGGCAGTCTGACGTTTGCCAGCAATATATAATTTAAAAAGTAAAAATTCAAACTCACACACCCATTCTCATTTTCCACCTCAAACAACAACAATTGTGAACAATTTCGTTTTTTTATTTTCAATTTTATATGATTTTAAAATGCTGTCGAACGTCAGAAAAAAAATCATGGCCGACGAATTGAGAGAATGAATTTACCTTGTAATATTTATATCATGCTTTATTATACTAAAATTCAATAGGCAACAGAATCTTTCTAGAAAATCTAATTAAGAAGCTGACATTTTTACGAAATTTTGATGATTTTTTTTTAATATTTCACAAAGTTGGAAACTTGGATTTATACGGGTTTTGTTAAAGAATTAACTATATTTTTATAAAAAAAAATAACCAAAACAATATGTTAAAACTGATTAAAATGGGTGCGGCTATAATTCTTTCGACCACTGTATGTGCAATTCAACTAAATTCGTCTAATAAAAATATATACATACATATGTATGTATTTTTGTATGCGTGCATAAACATCTCCCTCTATTCTTTACCCCACCAAATAATGTGTGCACAGATACACATTATAAATTATTAATTCGTAAGCAATCATATCACAAAAAAATACCAAATAATATAAAACAAAATATTAAAAAAAAATATATACTTTCACCGTAAATCGCTTGTAATTAACAAATATAAACATTTATGAACTCAGAGTGCGCAATCTGCAAGCCAAATAATAATTTTTCGTGTATTAACACAAATGCAAAAACGCGTATAATAACGATTGCAATTACAAAAATATTGTAATGAATTGCATTTTGTTTTTTTTTTTTTAATTTTCAAGAAAAATGTATTTAAATATTTACAAAATGAATTTTAAAAGCATATTTAATTGTAATTAAAAAAATAATAACTGTATTTAACATGATGTAAAGTAAATAAAACGCATGTAAGTTTATGTGAAATAGGTCAAAAAAATCTAATTTCATTTAACAGGACATAAGTAGGCAAAAAAATAGTAGAACCAAATAGGATAAAATTCAAACCTACTTTGTATGTATGGACATACCATCAAACAAAAAATATTCCCTTTACCAAATATAGCCCACAACGCTGTTACGTTTTGTTATAAAATTGAGCAGAAAATAAAAAAATTAAAAAACTGCGATATTTTTTGTGTATGTACATAAATTTGTTTAGCAACGTGTTTCTCTAAAGTTATTTTCTTTAAAAGTCGATTGTTTAAATTGAAATAATCTAACAAAAGAAATGAATTAATTGTTTAATAAATATGTATGCATATACATATCGTTGATGAAATGCCGAAAGGTCCCAACCAAGTTACATTGAACAGGTAGTATCAGTAGAGCAGCTGATTTGATTTATTTTCAAATTATTTGGTCTCGAAAATGTCAAATATTTTTAATTTTTTCTCACAAAAATTCTGAATTGTTAAAATCCATTTGCATGTGAAACCTTTTTCCATACAAAACAAGCGATTGAATAGCAGCTTTTGGAACGTTCGCCCAACTCAGCAGCACAACCGCTAATTACTGGGCCTTGCAAAGGATGGATCAATGCTTCGAGAAGCAAGCAAATTTACTAGGAAAGAAAGTTGCATCAATTTTTATTTTTTCCAATTTCAATTTTTTATATAATTTTTTGTATTTCACATGGCACGCTTTTATTTAGAAGAAAAAAATCAGAACAGTTTTTGACACTTTCGATACCAGAAGCAACAACAAAATACACGCAAATGTTGTTTTTGCTCTACTGATACTACCTGTTTAATGTGCCTTGGCCCCAACTAACACTATTTATTGTATTTTTTTTCAGGAGAGCCAAAAACGTTACATAATTGAAATAATAAAATGTTTATTATTCATCGATATGAATTTTAGTTAAATACCAATACCTAACATAATTTAAAACAATCTTTTTTTTCATCAATTAAGTCGACGAACATGATTCCCCTAACGATCTGGATGGCCTTTACAGAAAGCATTCCTGTCCTTTGTCTTAGATATGCCAGTATAGTCCTTACCGTTCACCCTAGTTTTTGTATTTGTGGCACGCCGCACAGTGGGCCACCACATACAAGTTAGCCGGGAAAAAATGTTTTATTGGTTCTGATTCTTGGATTTGTCGTAAGAAGTGGCCATTGAGAAATTCACCTTGATCGGGGATCGATTGGATGGCTCCAGGGGTCCTTTTAGCAAAACGGTATATTGAAGGTATCTATATATAAATAAGCCACAATAAAATTTTTAACCCCCTTATTTGAGGCCATCGTTTGCTCGATTTCAATGAAATATATACCGATTTAAAGGATGTAACTTCCTTTAATCCAATAATGTTAATCCCGATACATAGGAAGCATCTGACATACATACTAAAATGTGAAAACCGATATATCTCTAAACCCAATTATGCTGGGCAACTGTAACTTGGCACGGATACACAGATTCTAATTATTTAAGGGGGCGTGGCACTTCCCGTACAATTTGAAATTTTCATATCGCTTATCTCTGGAACCGCTTATGCCACCGTCCTGAAATTTTACACAGCAACATATGTGACACGTAGAGTTAAAAGAGACCTAAGGCCAGAAAAAATCGATTTTCACCTTCTCATCGACTCGTATAGTAAACGGGCCGCTCTTTCCAATGCAATAAACCGCAGGTATCTAACTGCATTAGTTTTTTCACAATATCACTTCAAAGTTAGGTACTTTTACAAGAAAAAAGTACAACAAAATCAAATCTGACAAACAACACTGAAATTAATCAAATTCGCTTGAAACTAGTTACTCGGGGGTTTTCGAACATCGGATTCGTAATAAGTGACCCCGTTTTCGGTGTCAACGACATTTTTGAGTTTCACAGAATCCGAACAAATTTTAAATTTTTTCCGCCATATTGGATGCGCCATTTTGAATTTTTAAAAACGAACATCGGATTCGTAATAAGCGACACCAAAAACCCCCTAGTAACGAGTTTCAAGCGATTCCGATCAATTTTTAAAAAGGCATCCGCCATATTGGATCCGCAATTTTGAATTTTGGAAAACTAACATCGGATTCGTAATCAGCGACCATTAAAACGTTCAGAAGCATCAAAATCAACTTGGTAAACTTCAAAGTCGTTTTTCTCGAAATCTTTTTTTCTGAGCGTAGGTGTCTTTTAACCTTACATGTCACATATATTAAAAATTGCTGACTGGTTTAAAAAGTAGACTACAAAAGACTAAAAAAGGCAATAGTCCCAGCGCGATTTAAAAACTAAACCGAAATTTTTGACCGAGTTCACATGCAATCATTACACAGCTCACTGATACTCTCGTAAAAACACATACAAAACAATCACAGGGTAAATATTTTAGACAATGGCGTGCGAAAACACTTTCAACAATTAACGTTTTAACAAAGCGCCACATTTCTAGCAATATTTTATACAGAATTCACATTTTTCACAAAATTTTCGCGAGCGGTGCGGAAACTTGACCGAAGCGGTTAAGCGACGGCGGAAATTTGACAATGCATAGAGTTGCATTTATGTACAATGCGGGGTAAAATGAGTAGCGGCGACATCTGTTCGTGGATTTTTAGCCAATATAAAGTAAAACATTTTATACATTTTTTTATACTAATCAATATTAAATAGCTAAATCCTATGGTTTTAATACACAGCTGAGCAGCGTCTGCCCGACGGGCTACTGTGCGGCGTATTCGCGTATACATACACTAGGGATGTTAATTTTTTCGATGTTTGCGATCCCAGGATTTTCGGGATGTCTTTGGTTCAATCCCGAGATCCCGTCATCAGTCCCGGGATTTAGATATTTATTATTTATCAATGACCTAACATGAAAAAATTGCATCAATATGGGTTGAGAAGCTCTTCTACCATATAATAAATAAAAAGTAAATGGGTTTGAAACGTACTTTTTCATTTAAAGTGGAAATTATTTCATAAGTAACAAAACGACAGACAGTAATCTAATTTATATGCATTTAATAATACTTTAGTGTGTACATATCTGATAAAGTACTTTAAAAATGCTCGAAAAAGCTCGATGTAAAAAAAAAATAATTAAAAAAATGTATTTTCTGGTTGAAAGAAGTTCATAATTCTAGTGGCAGAAATAAAAGAAGCGCCTTAATTCGACCAGTTTTGTCTACATTCTTTTTTTATCCAAAATTTATATATTTTATAAAAGTCTACTTCATAATACACATAATTAACTGCATATGTATAAATGGGCATTTCTCTCACGCCATTATTTTTTTAAAAAAGACTTTATCGAGCCCTAACCGCCAAAATAACGTAAGCGACATTTGTTTTCAAAATTTTCTTTTTGATGCAGAAATATTCCTAGAGCATCTTAGATGCATTTCTGCATCTAAACGAAAATTTTGAAAAAAATGTCGCTTACGTTATTTTGGCGGTTAGAGCTCGTTATAATTTCAAAGATATGGTTAATTTCATAATTTATTAAAAATATTAAGGGCAATGTAAAAAAAAATATGGGTACCAAATGAAATAACTTTTTTGGGTTCACAAGGACGAATAGGAATTGAAAATTCCCCTTTAATCTATTTTCTTTTTTAAGCTAATAAAGTTAGTCCTTAACATATAATTTTTTCAAAAATAAGAATTGAAAAATTTCAAGGGTATTCAAGGATAAAATTATAAATAAACTCTAGGTATTTTCAATTCCTACCCGTCCCTTACGGACCAAAGAATGTAATGTGTTTTAACTCTACAGAATCTTCTCTTTCATTTGATACCCATACTGATTTCTTAAGAATATTGCACTGAAATTTTTAAATCATTTTTTGAATTACTCATATCTTTCAAATTCTTTTCTTTTTAAAAATCCTGACGTCAGATAGAAAAATTAAGACCGCAATTTTACTATATTTGGCCCTTGGTTTGGCGAATATATAAATTTTTTTTGTGTGCAAAATTGCCTGCCGCTTATAATATATGTATTACATGTATATTGAGCTACACATTTACAAAAAAAATGCTAAATATTAAATAAACAAAAGAAATATATACAAAACTGGGCAACATAAAGCGTTTCTATTATTGCTACCAGTGTATATTACAAGTCCCGAAAATTCCGGGATTCTAGTCAAATAATCCCGGGATTTTCGAAACTTAAAAAAGACCGGGATCCCGGGATCCCGGGATTAACATTCCTAACATACACGCTCTGCTTGGAAAGACAGCGAAAGCTTCATTCAACCGCACGACTTGATCGTACGCACACAGTGACATCAATTGAACGCACACTACAAAAAATCTCTGCAGAAGCTGCCCACCTCTGTTTTAATATAACAAAATTCTTTCGTCAACTGAGCTAAGATTTTGTAAGTTATTTTGATATTTTTTTATAAGTACTTATGTAACTTTGCATCGCAATTGCAACTCTGAGTGTTGTCAAACTTTTGCCGCCTTTCCGGTCGTTTCAAATTAATTTCCTCCGCCCCTCTGCTTATTAGGAGGTAGCAACCAATTGTATCTCGCATCTTTGCACATTCACCAACAGCCATGAATGTAAATGTGCTTTCATATCGTCGCCTGGGTAAAAGATTGTCGTAAGCGGCATACGTACGTGCGTAACATACGATAATATTTTACCCAGGCGACGATATGTTGAGTTTGAAGCAACACCACATTTCGCTGTGTTGATGTCGTCAGTTCATAAGCCTAGATTTTAAGCCAAATTTTCTATATATGAAACCTAGAAACTAGAATTAAAATGTTTTGGTTTGATTTTTAAACCACGAACTTTTTGGTTTTAGTTTTAAACCACTCATAGCAGAACATCATTTTCTCGGCTACCTGGACTAAAATTTAAATAAAAATTGCTTAAAACTATTGACTGGTTTAAAAAGTAGACTATAATAATATATAGCGCAGTTTAAAAATTAAACCCAAATTTTTGACCGTGAAGCAATACATTTTTGTTACTACATTTCGTTTTAAAAAAGACTCACCTTTACTCAATAGACAGCGCCAAATTTAACTTTGTTATTATTTGCACATTGCAGCACTTATTTTACACACACACACACACATATTTCAGAGCCTTTGCATGCTACCATCCCACGCTTACCGCAGCTCTAGGGAAAACACATAAGAAACAATGCCCGGACAAATATTTCACTTATTTGCGAGAGAAAACACTTACAATAAACTTATTAGCAAAGCGCTACAGTTTTAGTAATACATATTTTACACAGAATTGACATTTTTCACAAAATTTTCACGAGCGGCGCGGAAACTTGAGCAAAGCGGTTAAATGGCGGCGGAACTTTGACTATGCACAGAGCTGCATTTTATGTATTTATGTACAATGCGGGGTAAACTGAGTAATGGCGACATCTGTTGGTGAAGCTTGCGCTTATATTAAGTAGAAGCATATTTTATCCATTTCATTTTATAATGTGCGATAATAGACAGTGCGATCCACGGATTTTCATCAAACAAAACGATACATAATTTGCGTCAAATCAAATACATTTTTTGTGAGTTGTTTTGGTATTTTGTTTTTTATTAATTAGAACTTAACTTTGCCGCACGAATGCAACTCTGGCCGCTGTCAAACTTTTTCCGCCGTTCCGGTCGTTTGTCATTAGTTTCCCCTTCCGTGTGTGAAAATTTTAGTTGCTTTTAGTTATACATACATATTGTAGAAAAAGTTAAATTGTTTCAGAGTTTTGTTCTAAAATTAATTGTTTTCTACATAACGTAACAGCTGTGCATGTTTTCTTTCGAATATAATGCAAATCTTACTTCAATATGTGCCTGCACTTTGTGTTTCATAGCAATTGTTTTAGTGGCTGAATGCAATCTAGAAAAATTGCCAGAAAATGATGTCTAAGAGTAAAAAGCAAATAAATTTGTAAAAGTTTCCGGCTCAATCTATATCAAAATCCTTCATCTACGATATTTTAATAGTCATTAATAACGCAAGTACAAAATTCAAAGCCTCATTATTTTATTTTACTTACTTGTAAATCTATAAATGCACCGTTTGAAGAAATTTATAAATGCACATTTTCAAGAAAGTTTTGAGATTTCCTCAATTAAAAAATACTTTATGAACATTAATAATTCATCTCGTTTTAAATATCAATCAGCTTTCAACCCGCAGAAGCACGCACTTTTGCATTTTCCACATTAATATAATTCTCTTGCACATCCTTAACCATAAAATCTACTAAATTATCCAAATCATAGTTATGCTGCCAACCCCAATCGCGACGTGCTTCTGAATCATCGAAAACTTGCGGCCACGAATCCGCAATCGCTTGCCGACCATCTGGCTTATAAGTGACTTGCAAATTTGGAACATGACGGCTCAGTTTAGCAACCAGCTCTTCAGGTGTGAAGGACATTGCTGTAACATTGTAGACGCGTCGCTTCAAACTCTCCGAAGGGGCACACATAATTGTATGCAGAGCGCTGCAAGGATATGTAGATTGGTAAAGTGCTTGATAATTATTAGTGGGTGAGAAATAATCGTTAACATACCCGTGTCGTTCAATTAATGTAGCGCCTAAATCGGCATAGGCCCTTTTCCCTTTACAGCAGCATTTTATTCGATTCCCAAACAATATTTTAACTTTTAGCTAAACACTTCAAGTTCAAGAAGCCCTTTTAATAGAAACTTAATAGAAATAAAAAATTCAAATGATCAAATTTAAATAGCAGTGGAATTGCTGCGCTTCATTGTAGTTGGCTTAACAAATGAAAACGTGTACAAAGCAACAACAGTTTACGTGGCGAACTTAGCTCAGTGGGTAGACTGCTGCCTATGGCGGCTGGGGTCGTTGGATCGAATCCCAGTTGAAGAAGTGTGATGAGGAGATGTGGTGATCTCCGAAATAGCTATAACTTCTACCAAAAATGTACATGAACTGTGTTTTTTTTTTTAAATTGTTGAAAATAAAAAAAAAATCAAGGGAAACTGATTATTTTTTAATTAAAATCAAACCTAAAGTCACTTGAGCTACTTAAATTGAACGGCGAAGATATGTAAATTAATTTTGAATTGTTTAATATTTTTTTCAATTAAAAATTATTCAGATATGCTGCTGTGAACAAACATGTCTTGGTTTAATATAATTTTTGTGAAAACACTCGTAACACGGTGGCACAAAAAAAAAGTCATGAAATACACTCGAAACAAAACCTGGTGTAGGTTGTAGCATGTTCGAGTTCAAGATGAAAATAGGTCCCGTATATTTACTGAACGCTCCATTTTTTATTTAAAAAAAAAAACGTAATTTTCGTACTTGATGCACTTATCTATTAATAGCTCAATTATTTTCCATCCGATTTTTGAAATCGAACAATAATTTTTAGTAAATATTGATGAACTCCTTAGCTACACTGCTCAAAAAATCTGCACATAAGGCCTTATTTTTGCTTAAATTGCTCTACTTCGACAGTGTCAGTTTATTTGAAAATAAATTTTCTTATAGATAAATACCACATATTTGGCACTTTTCATAGAAATTTTTGAAATTAGCGATGATCAAAGTTCAAAAAATTAAGAATAATAGGGGCACATTAAAATTTAACCGATGAAAACTCCCAACATGGCAAGTTTAATAATATACTTTTATACGTAGTTTTAAAGGAATAAATCCTATTTTCAAAACCTGATCGATTTTCAAAATGGGATGGAAAATAGTCAAGCTATTAATAGATAAGTGCATCAAGTACGAAAATAACGGTTTTTTTTTTCGTATAAAAAATGGAGGGTTCAGGAACTATACGGGACCTATTTTCATACCTACAACCTAAACTAGGTTTTGTTTCGCGTGTGTTTCATGATTTTTTTTGTAGGACCATGTAATTACTTGTCTACTCAAAATATTTTCGACTCACCGGAGACAATCCTCAATGTACATCATCGGTAAACGCGTATCAGGGCGTAAATAGCAAGTGTATTTGCTAGTGCGTAATGCTTCGTGAAATATGGCGACAGCGTAATCTTAAAGGAAGAGTAGGTAAGAGCAAAAGAAAAGAAAATTCATAAAATATATTGTTTTTTTTTTGTAAATCTTTTTTTTTGTCTCTATGATATACTAATTACAATATATTCGATTTTTATTTTTAAGGCGTATGTTTATTTACCCTTCATGAAAGTTTGTCAAATAGGAAATTTTATTATATTTTATGTGTATTATTTTATTATTTTTTAAGTATTTTGTTTTTTGGATTCTACATTTGCATAGCTTTGTTTTGTTCTTTTTCAACAAAGAGCGCCTGAAAATATATTTTTCCTTCTCTATTTCGCGCCTATTACTCGTATTCACTTAATTGAACTGGGTTAAACTCATTGTGCGGTAAATTGGTGAATGCGCCGTATCTTCAATATAATCGCCTTCGTAGCCATAAGCGTCAGTCTTTTTGCCCTTCCCGCTGCTATTCAATTATTGAAAATTGCGATACTTAAAGGGGAAATTGCACATTTAACAAAGTGAAAACAATCGCAAAAGATACACTTTCTTTATTATGATCAATGATGAATGGAGCTTTACTGCATACATATATATGTATATGTGCATTTGTTTTGTGCATAATTGAAATTTATTGTTTAACTGCATAAATACTTTTTGTGCGAAATTGTAACAAAATTTTGATTTTGTGCTCTTTTGTCTATTAGTTTTTACTCTATTATATTCTATTTTATTTTACTTTATATCGTTTTATTTTATTAAATTTTAATTTATTATATTTTATTCATTATCTTAAATTTTTGATCGTTTAGTGATCGACTTTTCCTTTCCATACTATTCAGTACTCACCAGTGGTGCCACCGCCAGGTGGATCGCTAGAAATTACACCCGGGAAACGCAAGCACCTAAAGTCCAAGCCAAACTTGTGGAAATAATACTCGCCCATTAGCTCGGCATGCACCTTCGACACGCCATACATAGTACGTGGACGTTGAATCTATGAAATGAAAGGTGAATTGAGTCAAGGAAACGGAAGTGAAAATTATAAGGTATGTACAATACATGTACATATGTACATGCTATATTTCATGAGCTTGAAAACCTTTGGCAAATGCATTTTTTTTAACAAAAGAAAACTAAATAGAAAGTGTTCCATTTAATAACGACTCACCGTCACATTTGGTGTAGGATTCCGTGGACTGTCTGGCCCAAATGCGCCAATGGTGCTCGGTACGAAAATGCGTAAATTGTACTGTTTGGCAAGTTCGATGACATTATGTACACCTTCGATGTTGACGCTGAATTTTGGTAGAAACAAAATTATGTATTTACGAGCATATGTATGTTTAACAGTTAAATGAATAGCGTGTGCGCCGGTGCAAACAATTTCTTTTTCGGGAACCAAAGAAAATTGCAAAAACAAAAAAAATCAAAGTATTAAATGCAAGTGGCATACGAGTACAGTAAATGCAAGCGACATATGTACGTTCGTAGGCATGTGAGCAGACGACATGAAATTAAATTGCCAACAACACGCGAGTAACTACTTCTACAAGTATTTGGTAATATATTTGCGTGACTAAGTGAAAGTCTTCCTAAATTATGACATATAATCAACGCGCAGACAAATAAAATAAAAGCTTACAAATCCAAGAAATGTAAACAGTGCATTGACAAAAAAAAAAAGAATTCTGAAATAGCCGTACTTGGCAGCCATATTATTGGCATGCTAATTTTACCAGTTATGAGGAGCACTTACCGCACCGCCAGCGGCACATTTTGCTCGCCTATCGCGCTCAATAACGCTGAGAAATGTATCAGCCAATCGACGCGATGATCAACTACGATCTTTTGTAATCCTTTGAAATCTAAAATATCAGCAAATATGTAGGGTCCACTCTCCACTACTTGCTTGCTGGGTTTAACAATGTCTGAAAGTATGACACTTTCATCGCCATACTGGGAGCGTAAGCGTTTGGCGCATTCGATGCCTAGTTGGCCGAGACCACCTGAGAAAGAAAAGCTTATTATTTAAGGATATTACATAGTGGTACATGGCTTAAACGTATGTACATAGTTAAAGCAGCAAAGCGTAAAATATAGAAATTTTTATACCCGAGCGCACTTGTGCACAAGGGTATATTAATTTTGTTCACATAACGGTTGTTTGTAACAGCCAAAACGAATCGAGATAGATATAGACAAATGTGTACATAAATGATCAGGATGAAAAAAGAAATTGATTAAGCCATGTCTGTCTGTCCGTCCGTCTGTCCGTCCGTCCGTGTACACGATAACTCGAGCAAAAATTGAGATATCTCAACGAAATTTGGTATGTAGGTTTCCCTTAATCCAAGGTAGGTTGGTATTGAAAATGGGCGAAATCGGACCTTAACCACGCCCACTTCCCATATAACGGTAATTTCCAGAAATACGAAAACTGCGATATTTTAGTAACTACTGAAGATAATTCACTCAAAATTGATATTTACAATAATTTTTAGACGAAAAATAAGAATATTATAAATTTTTTTTATAATATTTTTTCCAAACTTGGCACAGTTGTTGGCCTTCGCACAACATACCAAATGACGGAAAATTTTTAAAATCGCTCAATAACCACGCCTATTTCCCATATAACGGTAAATTTCAGAAATACGAAAACTGCGATATTTTAGTAACTACTGGAGATTATTCACTCAAAATTGATATTTATAAGTTTTAGACGAAAAATAAGAATATTATAAATTTTTGGAAAATGGGCGTAGCCACGCCCACTTATGGTTACATGTGTATATCTTGGTAACCGCTGCACCAATTTCTTCCAAACTTCGCACAGTTGTTGGCCTTGGTACAGCATACCAAATGGCCGAAAATTTTTAAAGTCGCTCAATAACCACGCCTACTTCCCATATAACGGTAATTTAGAGAAATACAAAATCTTCGATAAATCAGTAAATATTGAAGCTAATTTATTCAAAATTGATGCTTGCAACAATTCTTTACCAAGAAATACGATTATGGTAAAACTTTGGAAAATGGGCGTGGCACCGCCCACTTATGATCTCATATAAGTATATCGGTAACCGTTCTACCAATTTGTACCAAACTCGGTGTGGTTATTGTGCTTGCCACATATAAGCAAAACGTTGAAAATTATTGAAATCGGACTAAAATAACGGCCGCTTCTCATATAACGGTAAATTTCAGAAATGCTTTAAACTTCAATATTTCGAAATTGAAGGACGCTAATTTACTCAAAATTGATACACCCCGGCTTACCATCTAGCGGAAGGTTTCGGAAAGGTGAAAAAACATATATTTAATACTTGCGCCGGGTATTTAATGTTCGGCTTCGCCCGAACTTAGACTTTATTACTTGTTCTGTTTAGATTTTGTATAATTTGCTAATTTAAATCTTTGAAGTCGTGAGGGAAACCTTTTTTCCTTTGATCCTTTAAAAAATATGGAAATCTGTATTTTGTATGGGACACCCCTTTATTGAGTTCTATTTATTAAATGAGGACTTCAACGAAAATTTCAAAATTGTAAAACAACTTTTATGGGTCGCTACTAGAGCTGTTAATTTTTGCGCTTTTTACGATACCGGGATTTTCTTGATTTAGATATTCATTACTTTTCGACAACCTTAATTGATAAAATTGCATCTATATTGTTTGAGAAGCTCTCCTACCATAACATAAATAATAAATACATAGGTTTGAAACCTACTTTTTATTTAAAGAGGCGTTTTTTATTTTTTCTCTCTGACGTCAGAATTTATTTTAAAGGACGTTGTAATTTCAAAGATATGATTAATTCCAAAAATTATTTAAAAAATTCAAGGCAATATGGATACCAAATATGGGTACCAAATTAAAGAGGAAATTTCTTTAGAATTTAAGATAATTAAAATTTTTTTGATTCACAGGGACGAATAGGTAATTTTTTAAGTTGTTTAAAGTTATAAGGAGGAAATTCGAGGATGTTATCGAGTTTATATCAGTCCTCGTTGATTTTACGAGTGTATTTTAATTTTTCAACCATATTGCACTGAGCATCGTGCTAAACTTTGCAATAACTGTTAAATAAAAATCAAACTTTGAATTTTAAAAGAAATTGATTTAAAAAAATTACATACAAAAGTAATTATTCATTAAATGTAATTATTCGTAAATATTTTAAGTGGTTTGCCTTTCTAGGAAAAATCTAAATTTGGCACATTACTAAAACTATTCATATAAATTCACAGTCATCGCCAAATTGACTCATCATGCAATATTAAGCGCTTTCAGAATACTAAATTGCAGCATTTTTAACATTTTCGTGAAAACTAAATTACACAAAAAAAAATAACTTGAAAAAATACCAAGAAACTCAGGTATAGTAGAGAATAAATATGAACTTTCTAGGCTCAAAACGCATTTTTTAATTTTTTGATAACAAAATATGTCAAATTGTTCCAATTTTAATATTTTAATATTTTCAAATCCTGGTCGAGATCGCTAAAAATTATTTTCCAATTTTGAAATTGTTGTGAATGCCTTTACATTACATGTTGATATTTTTTAAGGGCCACCTTAATGTGCAAACATACATATTTATGTATTTGTACATATTCGAAATAATTTGATGAATTTTGGGAAGCTTTGATTTAAGATTTTAGTTGTAGATTAAGGTCTTTTAAGACCAAAATAAAAATATTTAACTTTTTTTCAAAAACTTTGGACCACGTTAACCGATTTCCATAATTCTTTATTTTTTATCTCCGGTATCTCCGATCCCATATTAATTTGGTTTAGATCCGATCATTTTATCATGCAGAATTTAACGGTAGTCTTAAATTTTTATATAAGAATCGAAGTCGGTTTTGTTTTTAACTTAAAAATTACTTGTTGTTTTTAAATCTTGTAAATTCTTTTTAAAAAATATTATATGTATTACTTTTATTTACAACTGAAATTGTAGTTTCCTACTTGGACGATTTAAAATTATTATCCCTTAATTTTTATAGTTTTTTTCAATTTCAAAAAGTTTGGTTTTTGATTCAAATTAAAGAGAAAATATTGGCAAAAAATATTATTAGCCGAAAAACTATAAATTAAAACAAATGCAAAGCACAAAAAGTTAAATTTGGCATATTCCAATATCAGCCATATCAGGCGTTTTTCTCGCATGTTTTTAAATGAATGCAACCTGCAGAATTCATTTTGAAAGATTTGTATTATTATCTTCGTTCGTTATACTAAATTAATATTCATCGAAAATTTGAAAAACTATTTTGCGAATATCACAATTTTGGATCCATAATACTATCAAAATATATGTACGTGTTTGATTTTTTTTTTGTTTAATCTACATGTATCAGAACACAAGTCTTCCGTCTAAGCATTCAAGGTTAAAACTAAAATTATTCAGAAATGTGAAACACGCTTTTTCCTTTACGGCAAACGAAAAAATTGGCAGCAAAATTTTTTTCCACACGTCATGTCACGCGTGTTTTACCGGTCTGAAAAAAGATTTAACAAATGTCCTTGTAGAGTTTTGTGAACTTAAGTTGTTTTAAACTTTACTTTTATTTATGTATTCTAACTTTTTATATTAAAAATCTTGTGTAGATAAAAAAAACAATTTATCAATTTTCAGCACCGCGCGATTTCTTTATACAGTAATAACCAATTTTATTGTTGTTGCTCCGAAAATATTATGTATTTGACTTACCGGTTATCAAAATCTTCGGTGGTCGACTTTTACTATGCTGAGCGCGTTTATTTAGCGCCTGACAGACGATTGGCGTTAGGCACGCTGTATTATTAGTGATCTTATTTTGCACGAAAGTCGTTAAACACTTTCTCAGCATTTTCTTGGAGGAGAAATTTCAACTTTAGCAATTTCAAATTTAATAAAGTATTTAAAGTTTCAGATTTTCGTTAAAAATTTTTATTTTTTATTTTATTTTATATTTTATTTTATTTTTGTTTTCTTATTTTCTTGTTTATAAATTTTTATTTCTATCCAATTATTGTGTGGAACACTTTTTATACTCTGTATATTTTAAATCTAAAGCCTTTTTAATACTCAATCCTAAGATTTTCTCTATACAATTTTCTATAAATTCTTTATTACTTCGATGTGTTGAGCAACAAATTTTTTCGTGATCCGGCTTTCTCTAAATTTCACCGGCCAACACATAGATGTGTGGCTATCCACTGACTTCTGTTTACTATTCTACCCGACAGCTGCCGTTCTTGATTTTGCTGTTCTGGCAAAATTTGTGACTTCAAGTAAAAAAATAAAAATAAAAAATGTAATACATACTAATAAATATCTAAGTTTTGTTTTGTTGCCGCCATTGTGTGGAAGATTCAACAATTTTGCTCATAACAACAAAAAGTATTTAGAGATGCATAAGTACATATCGTCGACTGGGTAAACGATTGTCGTAAGCGTCATACGAACGTGCGTAACATACGACAATCTTTTACCCAGACGACGATATGTGCATGAATATATTCAAACATTTAAATCAATGAGGAACAATTCGAGACATACATACATACATATGCACATACTTGTATGTATGTACGATATTCGTACACGCGCTTGTTTATGAGAAATTGGAGTGCTCGAACGCGCCGCATCATTATTTGCTCTATATTTATTTAAATTTTTTTATTTGTTAATTTTTTTAGAAAGGCTTCGGGGGATATGTCTATAATATTTCGCATAGATCTTCAATAAGCCAAACGGTGCTGTGACTATGACATATTTTATGTATTTCTATATCCACGTAATTTTCGCCGGAATTCTTGATACACGTGCCGCGTGATGCCTTAAATAAAATTGATGGTGTGCCGCGAAAATTCGGTTTTTTAATATACATATTTGTGTATGTACATTAGGGTGGTCAAAAATAAGTAGTTGGAATTTTAATCCTCTCACCCCCTAGAATTGTTCTATATCGAAATAAATATGCCTCTATTTTTTATTTTTTTAATGCGCTCAAATTTTTCCATGTATTTTATACGGGGAAAAACCTGTTTTAGGTGAAATGGTAGAGAATTCTTGAAAAGCAATATTTTTCGATCGGAAAACTCTGGTTCTCTTCAGAAGACTTCCATTAACCCAATTGCTTATTTACCCATTTTTTTAATACTAACGATTTTTTAATTACCCCGATTGCATTTTCTAGGGGTTTTGGCGGACCTATAAAATATACTAGTAACTAGGAAAAAATGGTTAAATAAAATAATACGAAAAGTTTTTTTTTTCATATAACATACTTTGAACGCTTTCAACGACCTCTAAAGATTTTTTGATTTCAAAATAAATATATATATTATATTTTTTCGGCCCTTTAAGATGAACATCCCGTCAAAAAGAGAGTGGGAAATACCAAGATCGTGGAGAATGGGGAAACTTAGTTTTTGGCTCGGAGTTTTTTTCTAAAGAATTGGAACTGGAATTATCCGTCCGAGTTCCGGACCACAGCAGCATTTATGAGGCAGAAGTTGTAGCTATAAAAGGAGGTGGCTGTGTACCTTAATACACATGCCGTAACGAAGACTACGATTAATACCATCTCATCAAATCAATGAACGCGGTAATACTAAGATCAAAGGTTGCACCGGAAGGCCTAGCAGCTGTAGATGATATTAGCACCGCTTTCAATATCAGCCTCATATGGGTTCCGGGACATAGAGATATTGAAAGAAATTGCAGAGCCGATGAAAAGTATAAAATTAAAACCGAAATAAATGCGGTGTAAAAGTGTTATTTTTATTATATCGCAATAACGCAGAACGAGAATTTACCCTCAGGAAAGATACCAATCTTCCACTGTGTGAAAACAGATATAAGATTGGGATACTCATGGCAACCTGCAAATTAAGGATTAGAAATGGCATCACTCAAGAGGCCATCTATAGTTTAGGTTTAACGTGGGAACCTACCGCAATTTCATGCAGTTCAAGCTCCAGGAAGCTCAAAAGCTCAACGGATTAATTTATGCCTTAATCATTGCCCTGAAATGCAAGAATTTCAGTACCAATGGCAGTGTGGGAGGACACACTTGCCACCTTGGTAAAACCGAAACTTACCTAAAATGTTTGCCCTTCTTTTGGTCCCGGCACCCGCTTGAAATGCAACTCCACATTAAACCCTTACGAGTTCTACCCGCATTTAGGTATTCAACCACAGCCCCCGCGATACTCTCCAAAGAGCCGTACCTCTTTGAACGGACCGGAGTAGTGCTCGACCAGCTCGACCAGCTCGACTCACGCGACTTACGAAAACTTACCAGAATATACATGCCTAACCCTACAACTATTTAGACTTGCCATTTTGTCATCCATTAAACCTAACATGGGCATCTGTTCCCCGCGGTACCAGGTTTAGGTCTCTGGTAAAAAATGCTCAACCTTAACAAAAATATGTATCTCTTCATTTTAGCTAATATTAGTACTATTTAGCTCTTTTTAGCAATTTTCCAGGTGAAATTAAGCTCTTCACCCCGTAGATGGAGGTGTACGAAACAGCTCCACACGCTCGTAATCTGCGAATGATACCTATGTGGGAAAGCTTTTCGTGGGTGAAAAAGAAGTTATTCTATTTTTTCAAGTGAGGAACTCCAACGTTATCGAGAGAGAAGTCAGGCATTTCCCCGACCGTTTTCGAACTTATCATCAAAAATCTAAGAACCCTGACTGCCGTATGGCTAACAGAGTTTAAGTTAGCCGCTTTAGAAGATACTTACTGGGTTTGTTAGCAGCCAGTGCGCTGCTTTCTTTGTTATGGCTACCCCCGCTTGGAAAACACTGCAGTGGTTCGGTAGCCAAAATTTTAGGTCCATTCGAAGTTTCCCAGTGATTGCAATAAAGACAGATTTTTGTCTCCTTCCAGCTGCTTAACGATGGCCGTATTGTTCAGTGCGATCCAGCACGCAAGAACATTAATCAATAAAATAGCTTTAGTTATGGAGTCATATCAATAGATCCCCATCGCTTGTCAATGGCCCCCTGCTTGCATAAAGAGCTAGCGTTGCCCCTTTATCCTTTCGTTGACGCTCGGCCTTCATAAAAGTTTGCTGTCGAAGATGAAGACCAGATACTTCGCCCTGCCCAGAAAGAGTTTGCGATAATATGGTGTTTACATGAGGCGATTTACAGGCAACTTTTAATTTAACGCAACAATCGCCTGGTGTGCCAAACTTCCAATATTCAACTAATCGCCTCTGAAATCGCTTCATGTAAACGCCGTGCAAGTCGTTATTGAGGAAGGTTCAAAAATGTATGTATAGCTCCTTGTGAACTAAGTATGTGACAAATCTGCGTAAAGAAGGAAGACATTTAAAATTCAGTGTTTGGGTTCAGTTTCACTTTTGCGTCACATTTAACATTCAAATGCACATACACTTATACACATGCACACATATGCACGAGCTAATGCATAGAAACTTAATGAAACTAACCTTCATATGCACACAATAAATTGACCTTGCAATTGAAAAATTTTTGCAAAAGTTTATACAGTGACCACCTTCGGTCCACAGTGCGGAAATTGACCCTTTTCCTAACAAATTCTAATATTTTGAGAATGAAGGGGATTTTAAATTTGTTTCCTATTTTTGACTTGAGAATAGTACGCAGTAAACTTTTTAAAAAGTTTTAACCACACATTTTTGCTGCTCTTGCGTCAAGGAATCCATTTCCGTGGTCGCAGAAACCGAAAACGCGTTAAATTTTTTTTTTATAAATTCATTACACATTGTTTTTAGGTAAAAAAATGACGAAAAATCAAAATTTCCAGTTCGGAAGGTCAAGCAAGGATCTCCAAAAGTCAAATTTTTGTTTTTTTATATTATTTATTGAAAACATTTATTGAAAACATATCGTGGTACGATTATGTTTTTTAGGAAAAATGGAAAAAGCAACAAAGTCCAAGCGGTAGAATTTATAGCTGCTATTTCGAAGATCAGCACATCTCCTCATCAGACTTCTTTTTCCAGACTTCAGCAGGAATCGAACCCCCATCATCGATGTGCAAAGTCAGGAGCGCCAACCACTGAGCTATGTACACTAAGCCGCATCACGAAAAAAGGTTTAGCGTGTGTCTGTTTTATTTGAATACATATGTCGAGAGGAAATTTTGGGTGCCAAACAAAAATTTTTAAACACCCGCTAAAAACCGCTAAATCGCTTTTTTGATATAACTTTCTTATTTGATATCCCATATTTTAAGTTTTTATGTCACCGAAAAGGCCTCGCTGGGTACAGTAATGGAATAAAGCCTAACCCTTTTTTCGTATAAAAATAAAAATCTTTGTTTTTGCCTAAAAAAAGATGTAATGAACTTAAAAAAAAAAATTAAAGCGTTTTTCGGTTCCTGTGACCATGAAAATAGATTCCTTGATACAAGAACAGCAAAAATATGTGTTTAAAACTTTTTTAAAAGTTCACTGCCTACTGTTTGCAGGTCAAAAAAGGAAAAAAAATTTCAAACTCCCTAATTTTAAAGAGCATTTGAAAGGTCAAGGTAATTTTTTTATCCAACGAAACTATTTTGAATTGAATTTTTAGCTAGTTAGCTGTTCTCGTTCTCGAGATGTTAGAATTTGTCACGAAAAAAGTTAATTTTCCACACTGTACGGCCGTTAGAGAAGATTGCCTCTTAATTGAGCCCGATATCACACTACAAAAAATATTCTTGTATTCCCGCTCTTATTCGAAATACTTTCAATGAACATTTATGCCAAATTGATTTTATGAAGGCATAGACTCACTGAGAAAGGAAAAATTATTTTTTTGCGCATTGAATTAGAATCCACCTACATATGTACATATTTAGTTACGTATATAGGTA